TTTTAAAGTAATATTAAAAAACAAACAAACAAGTACATCAGAATTCCCCTAAGATTCCCAGAAATTTAAAGTTCACAATACCTGTTCAGCTTCTAAATGAAAACACCATAAAATAAGATATTTAGCAGTTTCTTCACATACAAGATATGGATGGTCAGATAAAAATCTCTGACTATCATCCCATCGACTCAACATACCTGTAAAAAAAGAATTAAACCATGAATATCAAATACTTTCTTCTTATAAGCAATGGTATTTTAAAATGATTATCTTTAAAGACGATTCATATTACCACAGCAATATGTTATATAAAAGGGCAAATGAAGAGGGATAAAATTCTTGTAAAGCAATATGCAGTATATTGGAAATAGCTTCCAAAATTCACAGAAAGGTGTGTTTTTGTTTGTTTGTTTTTTCCCCAGATAATTAGTCAGACTTAAGCTGAGTGACTGATTTAAAGCCAAAACTCCTACATCTGGGGTATGCCCGAAGTCCAGGGCAAAGTGAGATGGCTGGTCATCTAGTAAAAAAAAGATGATTTTAGGAGACTCAACATTATTTAGTCACAGAATATAATTTTTTCTATTGGAAAGATGAAAAAGACAGCAAAACCTCAAGAAACTACACTTAGCAAACAAAGAATTAGTAGGAGGTTCAGAAAAGCTACATTCTAATTAAAAAATGTCTAAGATGATATGGTAAAATGTTGACAGCATGGGAAACTAATCCAGTCAGTTTTATAAAAACAATATACTTTAGCCCGGCTCAGGTGGCTATAGAACCACGAACCAAGAGGTCACCAGTTTGATTTCTGGTCAGAGCTTGATCCCCAGTAGGGGGCGTGCAAGGAGACAACTGATGAATGTTTCTCTCATTAATGTTCATATCCGTCTACCCCTCTCCCTTCCCTTCTCTTTAAAATCAATAAAAACATATTTAAAAAAACAAACAATATACTTTAACTATTTTAATCATGTTAACTATTTAGTCATTCTGTTTGTATACACAGAAAACAAAATCTTTTAAAAATTAGTTAAGCATATTTGCAAATGGCTGCTACTTTGCTTCAAATATCAAACTGAAGTTCTAAGCCAAATACTACTTAAGGTGCCACTTCATCTTTATTCAAATTAATACAAAATTTAGTCAAAAAGTCAGTATACCCAAGTGATCATGGAACCAGTAAAGTGTTAAGTTTTTAACTCTGTCCAGTCAGCTTTATATTTGAATAAATTAAGTATAACATAGTTATATTTAGTGTTTTAGACTCATCCAAGGAAGTCTGGATGTTACTGAATCATCATGAAAATTTTACTAAGCTGTCTTAATAGTTTGGCAGTAAATCTTTCCTCTAGACCAGTGGTTCTCAACCTTCTAATGCCGCGACCTTTTAGTACAGTTCCTCATGTTGTGGTGACCCCCAACCATAAAATTATTTTCATTGCTACTTCATAACTGTAATTTTGCTACTGTTATGAATAATAATGTAAATATCTGATATGCAGGATGTATTTTCATTGTTACACATTGAACATAAAGCATGGTGATTAATCACAAAAACAATATGTAATTATATATGTGTTTTCTGATGGTCTTAAGGCAACACCTGTGAAAGGGTCGTTCGACCCCCAAAGGGGTCACGACCCACAGTTTGAGAACTGCTGCTCTAGACACAAAATGAACTTCCATATATTAAAGTTCCACATTAGAACACAAGGAAGAACAAAACTGAAGACCTATGGCTTACTGAGAAATACACCTTTAGCAACATGGGAATCAATTGCAAATAAGTGATTAATTTGTCTTCATTTAAAAAACACGGGAAAAAGCATTTTAGCATTTTCTTATAGTTTTACAAGTTTTATCGTTATTTACCCAACATTCTGGATACAGTCATTTTAAATTCTGAGAAGCAGAATAACCATAGAAGTTGTTTGAAACTACTTCTCAAACTGTAATTAAAGAACTTAATAACTTTTGAGGATCATATCTAAAGGAGGCATAATCCTTACTGCTTATACCTAAAGTCATAAAATAAATCCTATAAAGCAGTTTTATCTTAGCTCTGTGACATTTCTGAAGAGGCAATATTTTCAACTCTATCTACTACCCATAGAGAGAGCATTGTTCTCCTGTTTACTTCTCCATGGCAGCATAATGACTCACTGAAGCACCAAAATCCTATCCATTTTGGTTTCTTTTGCAGGCAAGATAATATGAAAGGGTTAGTGACACTTGTAGGGGTCATGAAGAAGGGTACCATTAAATGTTTAAACAATAATTTTAATGTTATTTTCTTTTAAAAAAAATTTTTGTTGTTGAAAGTATTACATAGGTCCTTCTTTCTCCCCCATTAACCTCTTCCAGCCCACTCCCATCCCCCTCAAGGCCCTCACCACTCCATTGTCTGTGTTCATAGGTTATGTATACTGTATATGCATAGAAGTTCATTGGTTGATCTCTTTCCACCCATACTCCCAAGACAAAATTAACCCTTGAAGTTGACCACAGCTTTTCTTTATCTGAGGAATACTTGCCATGACTTGATTTAAAAAATGTTTACCCAGCCCGGCCAACGTGGCTCAGTGGTTGAGTGTCAACCTAAGAACCTGGAGGTCACGGTTTGATTCCTGGTCAGGGCACATGCATGAGTTGCTGCTCAATCCCCCGTGAGGGGTGTGCAGGAGGCAGCCAATCAATGATTCTCTCTCATCATTGATTTTTCTATCTCTCCCTCTCCCTTCCTCTCTGAAAAAAATAAAAAATATATATTAAAAAAACAAAACAAAAAGTATATCCAGCCCCAGCTGGTTTGGCTCAGTGAATAGAGTGTCGGCCTGCGTACTGAAGGGTCCTGGGTTTGATTCCAGTCAAGGGTATGTACCTTGGCCGCAGGTTCCCTGGCCCTGGTAGGGGTGTGTGCAAGAGGCAACCAATCGATGTGTCTTTCTCATATTGATGTTTCTCTCTGTCTCTCCCTCTCCCTTCCACTCTCTCTAAAAATCAATGGAAAAATATCCTCGGGTGAGGATTAACAACAAAAAGTACACCCAATTATTACAAAATTGATAAGTTGGTTATAGGTACTCCATATAGACCTTTGTGGGGAGAGTGTGGAATCTTGAACAAATATATCAATAGAATCAATGCCTCAGTGGAACAGAACATACCTGAAAGTGCTAATGTTATTTTGGAATTTATAAACAAATGGAGAGTAACACAATCTAGCATGATAGCTAAGAAAACAGAATCTAAGGCTAACCTGCTTTGGCTCAAATACTGGCCATTTACTATACCTTGGACAAGTTCCTTTATACCTCTATGCCTCCATTTTCTCTTATGTAAAACTAGAGGCCCAGCAGCGATATCACGCAGCCCCGTCCACCTTGCTGCGATTGGAGCCTGTGGGCCAAAAGTGGGGGGGAGGGGGGCGTGAGGTGCTCCATGCACCTCATGGTGACTGGTTGTTTGGATGTTTTGGTTGTGATGCCTCTTGGCCTTTTATTATTATGATAGGGCTAAAAATAGTAACAGGATTTTTGTGTGGATTAATCAATATATATTAGAGCACTTAAAACAGTGTCCGACAGAGTAAACACTGATAATATTCACACAATATGAACAATTCATTCATTTACCAAATAGTAAACTAATCCTTTGATTAAGGATAATCTAGTCATTTAAACTAGCCAACCAACTTATCTGGATACCTGAAAAACCTTACTTTAAGAAATTAAAATAGTTTAAAATAATTTCACCTTTAAATTTTCCTGGTAAACATCTAAATCCCAATCCATCCATCAGCTTTTAATATTCCAACTGATTCTTAACACAGTCCCTCAAATATATAATCTTGATAATTTCCATTTCCTTTTTACATTATACTCATAATAAAAATTTTAATCCTTCAAATTATACTCATTATCTTAATTTTTCTATGTGCTAAAATCTCCCAACTAGGTTGTGAATTTCTTAATGAAAGATATATGACTTTTTTTCTATACTTCCTGAGCCACAGGTCTCCTTTATTCCCAATCACCTACCACCAGACAATTATTTCTACCTATATGCCTGCACATAAACTCATTTTGTTTGAAACTAAACCCATTAGTTTTTCCCTACCATCTACAGTGCTTCCTAGGCTCCATTACCCAATTAAACATTCTAGAAATTTCTCTGACATTTCTATTCTTCCTATAACAAATTGTTCACTAAATCTTGTGGTTATACTATTATAGTCTGTTAATACAGTGAATCATATTAATGAGTTTTCTAATGTTAAACCATCCTTGATTTCTTACTATAAAACCTTCTAAATATTTTTTTCAGATTATATAAAGTATATTTATTGTGAAGAATTTGAAAAATCCAGGAGATAAAAATTATCTGCAATTCTCTAAGAGATAATTAATGTTAACATTTTTATGTATTTCCTTCTGGGCCCGGTGCACAGATTTGTGCACTGGTGGGGTCCCTCAGCCTGGCCTGTGGACAATCCCCCAAGGGGTTCCAAATTGCGAGAGGGTGCAGGCCAGGCTGAGGGACCCAACCAGTGCATGATTGGGACTGGGGAGGGACTGTGGGAGGGCTCCTGGGTGTGTCCGGCCCATCTTGCCCAGTCCCGATTGGCTGGATCCCAGCAGCAAGCTAACCTACTGGTCGGAGTGTCTGGACCCTGGTGGTCAGTGCACGTCATAGTGATTGGTCGAACAAATGGTTGGACACTTCGCATATTAGGCTTTTATTATATAGGATGACTTTCAAAGAAACAAAATTAGAATTATATCCTCCATATTTATTTTCTACTCATTTCACTTCACATTGTATTCAAGAGTACTTTATATTAAATGTTTTTCAAAAATAAGATATTGACATGCTTGAAAGTGATAGCTAACTGATGTCATTGAACAGTGTGACTATCCACCTTCGGTGTCACTGAAAAAAATCTCATCATAGTATTTATGCAAATGTTTACAGCTTTTTTCTTTTCTTTTTCACAGCTTTTGATAAAATTCCCAGTGACAACATACTACATAGATTCAAAAATTACTGAATCATAGCTAAATTTGGATGGAAGTCCACAGATGAGCCATTGAAAACTGTGTTAGATCATCAAAAAGCAGTTCTGCTGATCATAAAGACAGTAATGTCAAAGATTCATATGACTTTGAATAAAACTTTTGTAAAATTTTAAAGAAAATAGATTTTGTTTCTAAATTGATATTTTATATTTATAAAGCATGGATTACTAGATTAAGTACAAATGCAGGAGGAAAATAATAATCAAGATTTCAGTGCCTCACAGTACTCCATAATATGGTTGTACTATTTATCATCAGATGGCAAATTCCACCTACTTATAATGTTAAAAGCAACATAAGAAAGATAGTCAACAAATACTATTAGGGAAAGTTAGGACAAATGTTTTAATTGCACATGAGACCACAGAGAAGAACTGGTGTGAAAGCCTCTGTAGCCCTTTATAGCGTCCCATGTACCAGGCCCATGTCTTCCAAAAGTTTGGAATGCAATGCAAGTTTAGAAAACCTCCAGTTGGAAGCTTTAATCACAATTGCTATTCCAGATGTGTTTACTTCAAAGAAGTATATCAATATTATTCTGACAAATTTTTTTCCTTTACCACATTAAGCAAACACCACCAGAAACATTTGCTTTCACCAGCAGGGACAGCATTAAACTTTCATTGTCTTGCCTCAGGTCTCTATCAACTCTGTGCTACAATTTAGTTCACAGGGACTTTGTTATCTCATCATTCCACCTAACTGTAAATTGGTCTACTTCACACTGATGGAACTTGGTGAGCGGAAGTAGCAGCGGGTATCCCAGATGTCTTGGTAAGATATAAACATGCCAGAAAGCTGGAAATAAAACACAGGAAATTTGGGGGAGCCTACAATCTTAGTACATTTCTGGAGGATCCAATGGGCTATAGCAAGCAGGCTATCTCTTTCAACATGAAAAGTCAATGTGCATTTCCACCAAAAAACAGGCACAATGTGAATCCGTGAGTGGCTCTAAAGTCTGATTGGCTTTGAAGACAGTATGGCTCTGGTTTGTATTATAGGATGAGACACTTGGAAGCCCACACATACAATGGCAAAACCATTGTTTATTAATCATTTGTGAATGTTATGACAACCACTATCAGTCATCTCATTGCTTACACGGTATTTTATAAACTATTCTAGATCTGGTATTGCCTTCTCTCCTTGCCATTCTTCTATCAGTAATACATCTGTGGTCTTACTAAATGACTTCTACCCCCACCACATTACTTACTGATCCAGTGAAAAACGAAGGCAATGGGCTTGTGAAATTCACTGGTATTAGGAACATCACTATCAAGAAACACCAGGTTTATTGAATGTGAAATGTTTTACTGAAGACACATATAGTTATAGTGCCAGATGGGTTATTACACCTTGTAAGGTTGAAATATTTTCCCACATAATATTGCTTCTGACCAAGTTTACAGCAAAAGTGAGGGAACTATTTCACACTGGCTGGTTTACATGGCTCCAAAGCAACTCGCCTATAACATGTCAGCTGGTGACATCTGAGGGATGCTATTCTACCAGATGCAGCCATGCTCTGAAAGAGCAAGCAATATATGGTACTGTTTCCTACAGCAGAATACATAGGCCTAGGAAGAGAACTGGAGGTGTGAGTGACAACTCACATTATCACAACTAAGACTTACAAAAATTCTGCTTTTTATCCTTATGACTTGGGCTCTACTCATTTACAAATTTTAATATCTAACCAAGGGAGGACTGTTTATCCTTTTCTTTCTATTATAAATTATACCAGAATAATAACATATATAACAATAAACTTCACTTTTTCAGATACTATGTTTGAATTAAACAGAATACACAGCTTATATTTTTAAATAAAAAGTATGAGGAAATGAGTATTTTATGAATAAACTGCATAAAAAGAAGGAAAAAATCTAAAGTATCTATTGTCATGACATAGTTGAGGACGAATGAAATTCTAAATACTTTTGGGGGAGGGGAGACCAATAGGAAAGAGATCTCAAAATGCCATTTTAAAATCGTATTAATATACTACAAATAAAAACTATGTTTACTAAATGAACATATTACTTGGGATAAAAAAACATGACTTGAAGCTTAACTCCTAACACTTCTGAGTGGCATTTTTACTTCAGCAGTATCACACTGCTTATAAATATTACAACACAACATGCTGCTTCCCAACTGTGTCTTTGCATGTACTGTTGCTTTGCTTCCTTATCTATATGGATAACTCCTACGTGTTCCTCATAATCCAGTTCAGCTGTTACCTCCTCTGGGAAGCCTTCACTTACATTAATCCCTATCGTAACACTTTTCCCCTACAAAGAAAACTATTTTTCAGTTCTTTGTATACATATTTCTATTACTATATTTATCTGAATAACAATTCAAGGACCTGCTTGAATTATATAATATCATATCTAAAACATAGCGAGGTGGGGGGATAAAAGCTAGTCCTATAACCAGATACCAAGGAAGCAAAGACTAGCTGGGGAATGGAAAGAGGATGTGGAGTAAATAAAGACTATAGGGTAGTATCTATACTAATAAAAGAGTATTATGCTAATTTGACCAGGAGACCTTCCAGAGATCTTCTGGACATCCTTCATGGTGGCAGGGCTGAGGCAGAGGCAGTTAGGGGCAATGAGGCCAGGAGGGGTGAGATATAGGGGTGATCAGGCAGGAAGGCAGGCAAGTGGTTAGGAGCTAGCGGTCCTGGATTGTGAGGGGGATGTCCAACTGCCTGTTTAGGCCGGAATCCACAGGGATCCCTATCCACCACACTGTGCATGAATTTCATGCACTAGGCCTCTAGTTATATAATAATAGATGTTATAGAAGGTAATTCAAACAGTAGACTTACCAAAATGTCTGATTTTTTGCTCATACTTCTGCATAAATGATTCTGATTTATCTTCATCTTCTGTTTCTTTTCCTTTATCTTGATTAATAAAACTCTAAAAAAAATTTAAGTTAAAATCAGATTTTATATTCTGATTGATCTTCTTTCTCAGATACTGAATGTCTTGCAATCTGTTCAACAGACACTATAAATAGGTGGTATAATCTTATACTGATAGTATATCATTAAATTCATGTGTTAAACTCTATTAAACAATTAAAATTTACTTATACTGGAGTTTCATTTAAAATGATGTATGAAAAGTTGTAGAATTACTTTAGAAATTATACAGAAAAACAAATGAATCTTTTTGTTAAACTAAATTTCCCTATTAAAGGTAGGTATAGAAAGATCCTGTACATGCATCATTTATGTTTTGCTTTATTCATTCCCATTAAGTATCTGCAACTCTAGACCAGTGATTTTCAACCTTTTTCATCTCATGGCATACATAAACTAATTACTAAAATTCTGTGACACACCAAAATATATATATTTTGCTGATCTGACAAAAAAAGTAAGATACAACTTTGATTTACTTACAAAATAAATAAAAACCCCTTTTTGCTTCAAAATGACTTTTTAAAAATTTAGGTGCCCTTGCACACACTCTCCTAGGAGCATGCCTGCGCCTTCCCACCCCTTTCTTCACAAGCATGATTTCCTAAACTCTAAGGAACATCACGAGGCTTGCAACCAGTGCAGCAATGGGCAGTGGCAATTCATCCCAGGCAAACCCCTGAACCAGTCCCCATGACCCCCTTGTTTTTTTTTCTTTTCTTAAATCCTCACTTGAGGATATTTTTCCATTTCTTTTGAGAAAGTGGAAAAGAGGGAGAAACATCGATGTGAGAGACACACATCAACTGTTGCCTTGAGCACGCACCTTGACCACGTTTGGGGAGCAAACTGACAACCCAGGTATGTGCCCTTAACCAGAAAGCCCTCTCGATGAGCCAAAAAAGCTCAATCTAGGCTCATTTTCCCAGCCCTTCCTTGTTTCATTGTCCCTAGCTTTAATAAACATCCACTAAAATAAAAAATAAAAATTCAGGCATCTAAACTTTTATATAAGGACTAGAGGCCCAGTGCGCAAAATTCGTGCACGGGTAGGGTCCCTAGGCCTGGCCGGCAATCAGGGCTGATCAGGGCTTCCAGCTGCCACTGACAATCAGGGCTGATCAGGGCCTTCCAGCTGCCACTGGGGCCTCCATTATGCGCTGCCCCCTGGTGGTCAGCGCACGTCATAGCAAGGGATCAAACTCCAGGTCAAACTCCCTTGGGGACAATTTATATATTTTATATATATATATGATTTCTGGTACCAAGAGACACCTTATTATGTGAGATGACCAATAAGATGCAACTCTATTATATGACCTATATACAAGACATACCAGACAGCTATAGTTGTTTTGGCTATTGTCATTTTTTTTTTGACAATCTAAGGGAAAAGAGGTCAGTGCCCCTGACTAAATAGTCAGGTACTATATGTTTTAAAAATTTTTGCGGTTGAAAGTCACTGCTCTAGACTAATCTTTGGAGCTCTTGCTGGATATAAATCCCGAAATTCAAATCATAAAGAGAAAAAAATATTATCTACCAGAAAGTCTTTGATAAGACACAAACCTAAAATAGACCTTTGTTGTAAACTTTTGTTAGGAGAAGCCAAACAGTTTGATTCTGAAATCAAGTACAAAATTCTATTAAAGAAGTGCTTATTTTCGATTAAATAAGTCATAAAACAGACCAAGATGAAGTTTGTATCTGGCTAGAAAAAATGGCAGAACAATTTTGCAGAACATTCTGTGGTCGCATTTAAACCTTGAGATCATCACTGCCAAAAATGAAAACTGCAAACTAGCTCTCTGGCAGTTTACAATAAAAAAGCACACAAGTTTATATATTACAAAATGAAAGCATTTTTTCCTTATATACTCTGCTATCTAGACCAGCACTGTCCAGTAGAAATATAATCCATTACAAATATAATTTAAAGTTTTCTATTAGCCACATTAAAAAGCATAAAGAAACAGATAAATTAATAACATTAGTTTAACCCAACATATCCAGCATATAATTTCAACAGGTAAGCAATACAAAAAATTATTAATAAAATATTTTACTTCTTTTGGTACTAAATCATTGGAATCTGGTGTGTATTTTACACTTACAGCACATCTCAATTCGGACTAGCCATATTTCAAGCTCTCAATAGCACATGTGGCTAGTGGC